AGACAGACAGACAGACAGACAGACGGGTAGCAAAAACTGGTTACTTCCTGGAAAAACACTCCATCTGAAGCAGAGTTCAGTCGACTGAAGTTCTTCTGCTGTCAGCTGAGAGGAAGCTGCCTGTTGATCAAAGCTGCCACGAACTGATCAGTCCATTTGTCTGTGCTGTGTGTGTTTTCATCAGGAGCTCTGCTGGAGCCCACAGAGCAGCACAGAAGCTAACAGCTGGAACATGATTCTTTTTCACATCAAACCACCTGTTTGTTCTTGATCACTAAAGAACGTACACACTGAACTTCCTCTGCTGGTTCTGGTTCTGTTTGGTGCCAGCTGTCAGTGAGCTCACCATGCAGGCCTGCCTGGCACCGGGGTGGTTCGGATCCCGTTCCAGAACCTTCTTGTAGTCCTCGAGAGCCTCATCCAGCTTCTCAGTCTGCTCGTAAAGCTCCGCCCTCCGTAGCAACGCCCGCAGGTAATCTGGATTCAGCTCTATCGCTATGGCAACAAGACAGTCAAACAATCAATACAATGATGAATCAATACATGTATTAGCTGATCTGATGTCATCACTCACCTCGGCTGCAGTCGGAGATTGCCTGGTCCTTCAAGTCCTAACAAACACACAAACTGTTAGCATTCTGCTAACCACTTAGCACTCTGCTAACAGTCTTAGCATTTCTCTTAGCCTGTTAGCAGGCGCAGTACTGTCAGCATGACGTTAGCATGTTGAAGTCTTGTTCGCAGGTTCTGTTCAGAGTTTAGATTTAAATCAGCTGGAAGAAGCGTCTGCCTTTAACCAAACTGTTCCTGATGATGTTCTCTCTGTAAACCTGCTGAGCTGTACGTTACTAAAACCTCTGAGCCTGGTTCTGTCGGAAGTTTTTCCTCCCATTGGGGGGTTTGGTTCCTTCCCATCGTTGCCAACCGCTTGCTCAGTGGAAGTCCAAAGGCTGCTTTGGATTGTTGGGTTCTCTGTTTAAATTCATAAGGTCTAAACCTGACTATGTTAAGGCTGTGAGATGACATAAGTTGTAAACTGCGCTGTACAAATAAAATAAAATAAAATTGAATTAAAGCAGAACGTCTGATTAAGACAGCTGATAAAAACTTTCAGCTATCGCTGACTGGAGTTTAGAGTTAGCTCAACTGACTGATAGAAAGGAGGTCTGGATATGTTGAACCTGCTTCATGACTGTAGTTAGCATGTTGCCATGTTTTTAGATGTAGTATTGTTAGCCTGTTGCTAGCATGTTGCCATGTTTTTAGATGTAGCACTGTTAGCCTGTTGTTAGCATGTTGCCATGTT